CACTACCACGTCGTCATGACTAATGCCGTGGAGGTCTTGAAGTGGGTGGAGTGAACGAACTTCTGTGACTACTTCCGCATTATGAGGAGTGCTGGAAGGAATGTGTCGCGCGTACATAATTCGTATTCATGGGTTCACCTACACAGTTCTCATCTTTCTCGTTAGCATTTTCGATTATGCAGCCGAATGCAACCTGCAAGAGTCAGGCGAGAATTTGTCTGTAGCAGACAGGAACATTCGTGTCAAGATAGCAGTTGGATGTTTCAAGATGGCAGTTGCGGACAGAGAACGATTAGGTTTCAGGTGGCTTGTCTGAATACGCTTCCGGTGGACATTGGAATTAGTCAAATTCACCACAGGAAGTTGTGACTTTCGGAGTACCGTGATGGATGACTGTGTGGAAGCGACTACCGACAGCAGACATGCATGCTTCTTCACTGTGACAGTGCATAATCGCTCAGCGTAAACTATTTCTGAATGCCACTTGATGGTTGTAAATTGAATGTTTTATCTGGTGGGCTCTGTCGCTAGGACACAATGCACCCGTGTCGCTGCCAAAGGCATATTTACATGTGTGATAAACAAATGGATTTGACGTGGAGACGACAAATGCTACTGTTCGGCGTGATGGGGAAAAGTCTGTTGCACGTGCGATTGGATTTCTTGTCTCCCATCCTGGTAATTTTTGAAGGAATAGTTTTTTAAATTTACTACGTGGAGAACTCCTGCTGATTAGCCGGAGGCTGGTTGATTGTGACTTGATAAATTACACACTGGTGAAATCTAAACAGCAAATAATTATTCCTACTTATATGTAAAGCTTTCCTGAACCCACGCCGCATTAATGCATCGTTTGATACCACAGCCTGCAGACTTGAGATGTACGTCGTCGCATCACTGAGCCCACATTACGCCAGAAGGACAGGGTACTTTGAGGCGCAGCATACATCACCATTTTAGGGGAAGTGAGGCATTGAGGTGAAAATTTTGATTGCTTATGCCTTCTGTCCCAGACTGAGCCCTTGTCAGGGCGCAAGGATGCCTTGAAGGGAAGCGTATGACCCACAGACAGCAGAGGTGTTGTTTAAAACGTAGAGGGATTGTTCATATTAACAGATGAATTTTGTCTACCGTAACAGCAATCGAAGTTACTCGCCTGGTGTCGCATAAAGATGTGAGTAGCTAGTAAGTGTCGCTGGAATAAAGGATGCAGTAAAATTCAAAGCAGAGGAGGACATATTGACTAATTTCCCCTGTTTGTGGTTTCTACAATGCGCATTTGATCGGACGGAGGTAGCGGACTTATGTGACTACTTCAGGACGTTGTAACGAAGGAGCAGTGCCACACTTTCCATATCCTTGATTAATTAATGTCAGACGCTTTCGATACACTGCGGCACATGCCAACTAGCCCTCGAATTTACTTTTACGTATCTAAGCAAACAAGTGTACACACAGGTGGCATGTGCTCAGACAGGAATGCAAAATGCACTAGAGTAACACAATAACCTACATGCATAACTTACTCCCTACTGGCCGTGGCTAGTAGGTCCTGAATCAGCAGCGTCAGTGCGCATTAACTGTGCCGACGATATGCTGTGTTGGTCATCAGTGCGTCTACTTACCTCCACCTAACTATCATGTCCTAGTTGTTGGCCACCGACTGCGAGTTCTTCACGAAGATTAGGCTTACGATGAACCAAGTTGCTTGGCCTAAACCAGCAGTGATATGCAGCTAGAGGCTGAGAACCCAGAACCAGTAGACAAATTCAGCTTGTTGATCGCAATTGCGGGTCGGTCGAGTGCCAGAAAGGGTGGGCCAAGCGATTTACAAACATTTAACCACAGCAGCAAAGCTTGTGTATGGAGTAGGCAGTGAATGACACACACCTTAACGACGTCATGGCTTAATCTGCTACCCAACTTTCCCTCACCAATGACACCTTTATTGGTCGCAGAAGGCTAGGTTGCCCCTACCGTGCACCTGGCGACACTCAACACCCTGAAACCACTCATCTTCTGAAACACGGGTCGGTGTCGAGGATACACTCGGTGAAATTGGAACATTTACAACATTATTTCTGAGCTATTCGTTGTTTTGATTTGGATTTTCCATGGGCGCCACACGCAATCTGCTCACTTGAACAAAAGTCGCAAGTAGCCATCATGTAAAACAAATACACTCTTAAGCATTCTAAGTCATCTTGTACTCTTATTAATTCGACAATCAGTAAACGAGGGAGTTAACGTGTGCCATTGACTACCGTAACACTGACCAGACTGCGTAAGCACTATTCAACGTTTTGCACTATTTTCCCAAAGAAAGCTGAGTGACTGAGAAAACATTAAATTTATTATTAGAAATCACGGTCTGTTATTTGAACGTGGGATACGGCAGTCATTATTCCTCCTTGTGAGGGTATTCGGGGTGGTCTTTCAGTCTGTAAAAAGACAAAGACAAAATAAATTTAACAAATTCATCCAAATCCCAATTTCTTACACTTGTCAGGACAGTGTTTCACACAAACACACACACACATTAAATCAAATAGCAGATAGAAGGGTTTAAATTGCTTACGCAGGTACTTTAAAGAGACGAGTGTTACGACCACAGGTATTCAATTTCTTCATCTCCTCCTCACTTAGTTCAAAGTCAAATACCTACAGAAGTAGACAATCTGGGTATAAAACACTTGACAGTCAGTGACCAGTGTAACATTTAGAGAGCATCCGATAATGCGCTTTACCGAATCAAAGCAGTCTAATTATTAATCGAAAGGAAAATAAGTAAAACTACCTTGCCACTGTTGACACGAGTAAAGTAGCGTACAGTACCATTACACATAAGGCAAAGCATTGGCAAACCACTGCTTCTTGTTCTATCGTTAAGATTGAATTTCGCTACGGTTGTTGCATTGGCTTACTTTGAAATTGGACTCAATGCGCGACGGCGTGACGCTTTTGCATAAAACCACCAGACCTCGCTGCAAGCCATGACGCAGCAGTATTTGCGCTGGGGTCTTGTTGTGGGCAGCCGCGATCTCCTTGATATACGGCTGTTCTAGAATAGGAGGTACCTTTGTTCTAAAACAATCGAATATAAAATAATAAGAAATGACACTCACAACATCGATCGTTAGCCAGAGTTAAATTGATTCACTTAAATCCAGAGCGCAGATCTGCGTTTTTATAAAGACTCATCTTATTCATTTTAAATAGCTTAATTATAGCAAATAAAATGGTCTCTTTAACAATACACATATTCGCAAATATTTAGAGTTCATCTAAGCTCTGAAAGTGGACTGCCCGACATAATACCCAGACACGATCTAACCCAACAATTATACAGCAACCTTCTCTTGTTTCTGAATAGCACAAATTACCACATAAAGGCAAAAAACCTTACACTAGAGGCGTCAGCAAAGAATTTACAGCAGCAAACATACCCCAGGAAACCTGGATTTCCGAGTACACCATATGCTTCAATATGAATGCCCTTCGACCAGCAGTAGTCTATCAGTTTCGTATTCATACAGTCCACATTAACTTCAATTTGGTTCACTGCTGGAACAATTGAGGCAACGCTCATAACACGATCCACCTGTTTTCTGTTGAAATTCGACACTCCGATTGACTTAACTAGACCAGCAGCTACTAAACACTCCATGGCCTAAAATTCAGGTGTCAAATGCCACATATACAGCATACCTTCCACGTGTTTTCTAGTGATTGTTCTTCGTATTCAACAGTATCACGGTCAAAAGGATTAAATGTCATGGATGGTTTTGCATGGAACGCAGTAGGAAAGTGGACAAGATACAAGTCCAGGTATTCTAGTCCAAGGCGCTTTAGCGATTGCTCACAAGCTGGACGCACATCTTTTGGTGAATGCTTGTCACACCAAAGCTATGCATACAATAAGCTATTTAGGGGAAAAAGGCACATACCTTAGATGTAATGAATAAATCTTTACGGGATAGACCTTCCGACAACAGCGCTTTTGAAATCCCAGATCCGACCTCCTCCTCATTATCATATACCATTGCACAGTCTATATGTCGATATCCAGCTTTGATTGCGCAAACGACTGCATCCTCAGCTAGATCTTTAGGAATCTACAGAGGGTATAATCTTGCTCTGTGAATTCGCTTACGGCGAATGTCCCAAATCCCAATGAGGGAATTTTAAATCCACTGTTTAAGGTTATAGATGACATGGCAGGCATATCAAACCTCAACGAATTAGAAACTGGTTGCGCGAAAAAGTAGCACCAATTTATAAGAAACTGAAAGAGTTGATTTGTTGTCAAGGCCGTCGATTGCGATAAAGACGTACATTTCATTGTCTCTACCTGGTAATTTCTCCCTCATACTTCATTTACACGTACATTCTTTGATACAATAAATAATTTATCCGTAACAATGACACTTGAAATGCACTGAATAATATCACATGTGTGACTAGGTGAGTTCGTCTGGTTATTTCTCCGATAGCTTCTGATTAATGTAACATGGTAACATGGGACGAAAATAACACTCTCATTCAACGTATCACAATTTGTATTGTCTTTCCTAAGTTACTTTTAGTTATTTGAATGTCCAAGTTGCATGTTACTTGCCCTGTTATTGACAGTAGTGTGAAAAGATAAATGGACCTATGACTCCAATCGTGATCGAAACAAAAAACAAAATATCGTTCTAGTCAAATCTCTAGGCTAGTGTATGTTCCTTTTTTAATGATTGAGATAAAAATTATAAATTTATTTATTCAAGTATATTATGGAACTATTATTTACCTATATGTCAATTTTGCCTAGTTTGTAATTTGATTGTTAATCGAAGGAAATATGTTTAACGCAATGCAATACAAGATAATCTTTTTGGACTGTGGCAGTGAGCATTAGGTCGTGATTACCCGGTCGCAAGTAGTGAAGCATATTTAGGTTATTCTGAACATGTCCATATATAGATACATACATGTGTAATGAAGGTGAGACCGTGAATCCAATGCACACTTTTGTTGGCTTTGTGTTGGTATGCAAAATGACAATGGCAGTTTTGGGCTGTGTGAACAAAATGCCAGTAAATCGTTAGGTCTCATGCTCAACCACGCACTAAAATTCATCAATAACATAAGAATTTCATCGTTTGCGCGTTTCCAAAAACAGCCATTTATGCCACAATAAACCTTCTTCTGCATGCCCATATTGCAATAAAATGAGAGCCAATTTTCATGGTCCAATTCGTTCATTTATATTATAGATATGTGTAAAAGAGTCTCCAGTACCAAGGCTTCTCTGCATAATCAAGCCTAATGGCTTGAAATATTAGTTCGTAACAACTAAATAAGGAATCAGTTTCACAGTGTAGGCTTTGAGCATTGAACCTGCTAACTAGAGGTCGTCATCATGGATCACGCAAAAATGCATTTCCAGATGAATCATGACTCGGTTTTCTGTTCATCTTCATTGCCTATTTTACATCACTCGATCTTATAAATGTGAGCTTACACACTACCTTATTAAAATGATTATTACTTTTATGGGCGTTTTCACAATTTCAGTCCATTAATGCCATTACAAAATCAAACAAATTACAAGAACCTGTCAGATTGCAAATGAATGTAATTTTCATTGGATCCCAATAAGAAAATTGAGAAGTCTGTTTCAAGGAAATCCTGACGAAATTAAGGAAAACAGTGTACGAAAGCATCATGAATGTGGCTTGCGTAGCACATGATGCCATAGATGTCATCGCGCATATAAAGAAGAAATATTTACGCAGCCAGTACTAGCCAATAGTGCCTCCTAGCACCATTTGGTGAAAACATATTTGTAACCACTGCTTAAATCTGAAAGGAAATTTAGTTTAACGAACACAGGAATTGCGTATTTTGGGAAACACAAAATTGATTCACTTGTTGCGATTTTGATCCTGATTTGGTCATTCAAGGCGTTTGACTTCCCTTTCATCTGGACCCTAACGACTAGACTTACCAGATTTTTAGAACAACATGCTTAGTAGTGTATGGTTCACTTCACTGTCAGTAAAGCCCTGTCGTCTTGGCCTACCTGAAGACGCCTAAAGTCACATTTTACCTGAATTAGTTCACTTCATGGTGACTAGGCGCTAAGACTGCAGCCGAATTGAAAGATTGTTTGCAGAATGGCGTTTCCAAAGTTCATCGCTTGAAGCTTTCGTTTGCAAACAAGGTGCATAGCTTTTGTTACTAATGATGTTACGCCAATTTTGCAAAATTAAGGTCACCTTAGCTTAGAAATTCAGGCTAATTTGATGACTTCAACATTATCTACCTTAACGACATTCACTTCAGCTCGGGGAAACATTCAACCACCCTTGAACCCCATGAAAAATGAAACGGCAAATTACTATGTCGCTTTGGTGAGTGCAGTCTGGGTAACCGTGAACATTATGTCCCTGTAAATAGACCACAAGTGACGAAGCGTTGTTAGTGCTGTGGCTACGCCGCAGCCTTTGAAGCTATCCGAAAGACGTGCTGACGCAGTAATGTATCAAGAAAACGCTTCCGGTTTGCACCGATTATAAACACTGCAAGGAGATTTTTTAAGCGTGCCCCTATCCGTGTACAAAACTTGCTTAATCCCAGCGATCTGGGGGAGTGCACCATGACTGCTGCCGTAACATCTGAATGAAAAGTCAAATTTAATGAATAATATTTAATTTGAGTTGTCTGGCATGTTAATCAATAAGTCTTGATTAATATTCGTCATTGAATGGATACTCCGGGTGGTCTTTAAGACTGAAAATCGAAGAAAAAAATTAGGAAAAGTAAACTCAAAACCGCACATTCACTGCTACTTAAACTATGCACATACTGGCCTTTTAGCAACAGAACCTGACATTAAGCAATTATACCTAAACGTTTGTCGCAGTGGACCAAAGTATTCTGCTCAAATACCACCAGCTCCTTACAAGGTTCATTAAATACCAGTTTCGCTTCCCCTGTTAACTTCACGAAAGACTTTAAACTATCGTATTGAAAGCATTTTTCGGATTTGCACATTTACTGATCTAGGTAATGGGTTGACGTATTGGAATGGACCACATTGTACAGAACCTAATGCTTCTCAGTTTTGGCTATGTAGCAAAAAACTAGGTCCTAAAAAGCTGGCGTCCTCGCTCATTAGGAAAAAGGAACCTACGCTAGAAGCCTAAAAATTCGTGCATTACGCCCGCTTGTATTCAATTTCATCATTTCTGCATCAGTGAGTTCGAAGTCAAACATCTAAAAGAGAATAACGCCAAGTCGCAATATGGAACAAAAAAGATTAGTACAATAATGAGCACCGCACACTCAAAGAAAATGCGAAATAGAATAGAGATGGGATTGTTTTGCCTAACACCACTCATCGCTACCAATCTACTTATTACTAAGAGTAATATGCAGGTTCAGCCAGATCAAAGTAAGGCAAACAAGTGTTAAAAATCAAATTCACACAATAAGAGAAAATTGACACCAGAAATAGTCGTGAGTTACCTCGAAATTCGACTTGATACGTGAGTTTGTAATGCTTTTGCATATGACTGCAAGTCCTCGCTGTAAGGCATGACGAAGCAGTATTTGTGCTGTGGTCTTCTTGTGGGCGTCCGCGATCTCTTTCACAAACGGCTCTTCCAAAAGCGAAGGTATTGTTCCCCTACAACAACCATCAACCAGTCACTTAAAGGTAAACTTAACTCGGCTGTGTTTACACCTGCATTCCATGTGTAAAAGGAAGCAAACCAAAACTAGTTTAAATTGGAAGTTTACGTTTTGCCTAGCACACCCTTGGAATTAAAAAGTGTACCTCAGCTGCAAGTCTGCAAACATTCCTACTAAATCAGTCATGCAAAACCAGCGATATTTATTTGCGTAGAAAGGAAACGACAGTTAAAACTTATTATCTTGCAAGCAAGAATAGTAAAATTGACTACCGTGGGCAGAACAACTTGCGTTCTCAACATTTAAGCTGACAAAAAAACAGGCAGGTGAAACCAAACATTTAATTTCGTGACAGAAACGGATGTATGCCACACATCACATAGACTAGTGGATTAAAATTCACATCATCCACCATTTTTTAACAAAAAAATCGCATTTCTCTCATTCAAATTCATGATTCTAAATGCCAAAACCACATACAAGGTTACAAATTCAAAAGAAAAACAAATTTCGATGCCCTTGTCGGTAATAGTAGAAGCCACCACCGTAAAAATAATTAACGTACTTCGCGAAACCGGGAGATCCGATTGGGGCGTAAGCCTCAACCTGAATTCCCTTTGAATGGCAATACTCAATCAGTTTTGTGTTCATACAGTTCAAAGAAACTTCAATCTGGTTCACCGCTGGAGGTATAGTGCAGATTTTCATTATTCGGTCCAACTGCTTCCTATTAAAATTAGACACACCGATCGACTTAACCAGACCAACAGAAACCAAACTCTCCATGGCCTATAAAAAGGCATGAGTTTTGATTTACGTGACATACCTTCCATGTTTTCTCCAATGGATGCTCTTCGAATTCAATGGTATCCGGGTCGTCGACATTAAGAACCCTACCCGGTTTAGCATGGAACGATACAGGCCAATGTACAAGATACAAATCGAGATAGTCCAGGCCAAGTTTTTGTATTGAAAGCTCGCAGGCAGGCCGTACGTCGTCTGGCTTATGACTATCACACCACAGCTAAAAGCAGTCACGTTAATCAAGTGTGCAAATACCTTCGAAGTAATAAATAAGTCCTCACGCTTCAGATTTTGCGACGTCAAGCATTTAGATATTGCAGCTCCAACCTCTTCTTCGTTTTTATAAAACATTGCACAGTCAATATGTCTGTAGCCTGTTTCAATCGCACAAACGACGGCGTCACCAACGGCATTTTCGGGATCCTATCGAAAACCTAATGTCAGGTTAAGAAAGCCACAATTACCGAAGTTCCAAAAACAAGTGAGGGCATACTGTTTCCATTGTTCAAGATAACATTGAATAAACCCAGCATATTTAATCAGAACAAGTACTTTAAAAATCGGGGGAAAAGCACTTACTACTAATAGCTTAAATAAATAAAGTCCTCAAGGTCGAATTGTTCCCTTTCCCACAAAAATACAACTGATGCTATTTACCAAGTAGTCTTTGCTACTACTATTACTGGTTGATTTTATATATAGAGGTGCAAAGTGGCTAAATCTATTTAAGATATACCCCTATATTGATTTGAAATCCCCTCATGTATTCGAAGTACACCAGAATGGAAAATTTTTGTTCTGACAAATATGCTTTGTTACATTTTTAAGCAACGATATCTTGACGACCTTTCTCGAAATGTTATTTTTTCGATAAAGTTAGTGTCGACGGCGTTAACCCATATATTGCAAATGTTCGGGGTAGTTTACCAACTTAATTTTAAGTGAGATATAACGACACCTTGTCACGTTGGCATGGTAAGATCTGTGGAGCATATAACCACTAAGCAATATTACATGCATGCAAGATTTGAAGTCATGTAAATGTATACCTATTTCTGCCTATATTGGCGATTCATACGAGAGTCAATAACTAGGACATTTCGGAAGTGAATTTGTACACTTTTTGGTGACATGTCGTACAATTAATCGCAATTTTATGCAAAGTAGAATATTCTCTTTCAGTCGTATGCAAGCTTACATTTTAATACAGTCAATTATCATTATGTGGTAATATTGTCCTATAAAAAATGCTCATATTAATAATAGTTATTACAGTAATGTCTAATTTTAACTTATTCCACACAGCGTTAAGATAATCGTGCTGCTGTTTTACATACATAAGACGAAAGTTCTACGTTCTATTTGGAATACTCATGCTAATAAAATTGATTTCGTTGGACAAAGTAGTGAATTTAGGTTCCTTTAACTGACTTCAATTTTCATGGCCCTTTGCCTCTACGCTGATTAATATTTACGTGACACAAAAAGAACTTGACACTCTTGTAAAAAAATCATTAGGGTCTATTTCGATCCTCCATAAACATATGTACTTCTAACCGAAAATTAATTAATACTAAAACTTTAATCTGTTTCCAACAATGCGACAGGAACACATTCTGTTTTGCATTTTTATGCATGACAAGACTCACAAAGTCTATTAGTATTCACCTGCTAAATATACTGTAGCCTAACTCCAGCTCAGAAATGCAACAATAGAATGGCATATATGCACGTGTTTTGGAAAAATTAAATGCACGCTCTCACAACACGTGGTTTCTTGTTAGGCACCAAACGCTGTGGTCTGATGGCATACTAACCAGATCATAAGTATGACTGTTAAATGTAGATTTAAAATTAGTACACTGTGAGGATGCGCCATATCTATATATTGCAAATTACCTAAATAATCTTAGTGCCTTTCGTGGATGCAAACTGTCCACTACTGAGTTGTCAGTAATTTCTTGATTTAAAATTAGAGATGTAGATGCACTACAAGTCGGTTTAATGAAAGAATTTAATAAAGTGACTCAATAAGTTATGACATGCTGGTCATCTTTACAGAATTTGAAACACTGAATTATGACACCAATTTCACAATAAAGCATTTTTGACTACTCATAGAGTCATTTTTCATGTTCAAATTGATAAAAACAGCAGTCCATAAAACTGAGTGACACGTTGTGGAGTCAGACCAGGAACCCTTGTCGAAAAGCGCCCCCCAAAAAGTGATTGTCCGCGATTGTGTTCGACCTCTGCATCCTTTATACCAGCAACGCTTACTAGCTGCTGACATCTTTGCGTGACACCAGGGGAGCAACTTCGATTGCGATGCTACAGTAGACAACACTTATCTCTTATAATGTAATATACCTCTACGTTTTAAAACAACATTTGTGCTGCCTGTGGGTCATACCTTTCCTTCAAAACATCCTTCAGTCCTGATAAGAGGCCCAAACTGGGACAGAACCACATCAGAACAGGCAATACACACTGACAAAAGGCATTAGTAATCAAAATTTTCAGCTCAATAGCTTGCTTCCTCTAAAATGGCGCTGCACACTGCATTTCAAAGTACCTTGTCCTACAGGAGCAATGTGGTCTTAGTGATGCAACAACATGTGTTGCAGAGATTCCTTGCTCACACCAAGGAAACCTTAGAAAAACTAGTCCTTCAAAAATTACCAAGAAGGGAGACAGGAAATGCAATCGCACCTGCAACAGACTTTTCCCCATCACGCTGAACAGTAGAGTTTATCGTCTCCACGTCAAATCCATTTGTTTATCACACATGTAAATATGCCTTTGGCAGCGACACGGGTGCATTGTGTCCTACCGACAGGGCCCACTGGATCAGACACTCAATTTACAACCCTCAAGTGGCATTCAGAAATGGTTTACGCTGAACGATTATGCACCATCACAGTGAAGAAGCATGCATGGCTGCTGTCGGTAGTCGCTTCCACACAGTCATCTATCACGGTACGCCGAAAGTCACAACTTCCTGTGGTGAATTTGACTAATTCCAATGTCCACCGGAAGCGTATTCAGACGTGCCACCTGAAACCTAATCGTTATTGGTTTGCAACTGCTATCTTGACACGAATGTTCCTATCTGCTACAGACAAATTCTCGCCGGACACTTGCAGGTTGCATTCGGCTGCATAATCAAAATGCCAACGAGAAAGATGACACTGTGCAGGTAAATCTAATGAATATGAGTTATGTACGCGCGACACATTGCTTCCAGCACTCCTAATTATGCGGAAGTAGTCACAGAAGTTCGTTCACTCCACCCACTTCGAGACCTCCAAGGTGTTAGTCATGACGACATGGCAGCGAAGTGTCAGGTCACTAGGATGGTTTGAACGATGCTGTGACATCGGACGAAGGAGCATTTAATGAAACTTGGATGGAACAAAATTAGGTGTCTTCTCGATGTCCCCTTACATTGTATACTTACTTTCCACAAGCGACTTCGACCACTGGAGGTGGAGACTGTGTAGGAATATGGAACTGTGGCTTACCAGACAGACTGCTGTTGCAGGCATAATTGTTGCCTGTTCTTATTTACAGATGCAAATGTGGTTTGGTCGTACGGATGAGTCAATTGTGGAATCGATGTACACACCTGGATTTTGCCATGGATTCCGGCCAAAGGAATATTTACACAGTGGCATGGTTAGAATATTGATTGTGGTCTTTTGAAGCAGGAGATGATCGAGCATTTTGAACGCATCAAACTCGAATACACACCAAAGCCGAGTAAATCAGTGACACAGCGCGTTGTTACGCTATTTGTGTGTCCAGTCCGTTTTTACGACTGCGCAACGTGCAAGATATGCCAACCTCACGTGTGTGTTTGTGTGTGTGTGCCTGTGTGTGTGGGTCTACATTTCTGCGCACTGCATGCCAAAATGCAAACCTTTTTC